CACACACACACACACACACACACACACACACACACACACACACACACACTCCCCTCTGCACACCAAGACCTCAGATTTGATATTTACTTTTTAAGAAGTTATTTTAAAAGATTGAGCATTTGAACTGGAGAAGACGAAGGTTTCCTGTGACGCTGTGACTGATGGTGTTTTCTAAAAGTGGGAGAGAAATTGTTCATTGTTAAAGTTCACCAAACCTCCTTTAAACACTCCTTTAACAACTCGACTAGAAGATCAAGATGTAAAAAACACGACGGGTCAGAACTGCATCATGTCTGTTCTGTAAGCATGTAGAAGTCCTGATTTAACGTGTTCTGATTGACAGATAACCTGATTAAACAAAAGTATCTGAACTGTTTGTCCCTTTGATGTAAACTGACCTAAATATTCAGACGGCTGCAGCTAACTGTAATGTTACAGCTGCTAAAGACTCTGTTCCACTTTAAAACACCTGGACTGAAGGAAACACTTCACAAGCCCATCCTCAGGACCAGACAGTGGCGAAACTTTGTCACTTCCTCTTTCAAACAGCCCCGCCCACTTTTGGTTGAAAACTAGTGGAAAAATAATTAGCCTTTTTAAGTTTTTGTTTTGTAAACAATGAAAACAGATCTGTGCCTTCAGTCCATCAGCAGAAAGGATTTAAATGAGAAAAAGGTTTTATTTCAGCTTTTTGTTCTCTCCTTATGTTTGTGGTCAGTTTAAAAATAAACAGGTCAGTTAGGAAAAAAAGTCATCAGTCGCACTAAATGACTAATTTCTTGACAGGAACTAATGGCTTTCAAATTAATACTGTACTCATAAGGTGCTTTGAAATAGTATTTGTACCTATTTAACTTTCCCACTCCTCTGTGTTGTTTTATTACAATAAAAAAACTTTAGTTTGTTTTACATTACACAATGTGCAAATATTTATCAGACCAACCATAAATCACTGTATTTCCCATACTTTTTTTTTCCTTTTTAGCAAACTCCTGTGGATGTGGATTCACTGTCAGAGGTTTTGGTTTCACCCAAAAATGGGCGGAGCTTAGTGCAGAGGCTAAAACTCAAGTTTCTGTGATCTGTCCCAACTCTTTCTGTTCTTGTTCAGACGTAACAAATTCTAGTTTCAGGTGTGGAATATGAAACTTAACCTTTAAGATTTTATATAAACACACAGTATGTCTTTAGTAACACATTGCCTTTAATCATAATTTTACACATTTTACAACACAAAGTTCATACATACAAAGTTATGAATGCAGATGATTTTTTAATGACCTCTGTTTGTAGAAACAGTTAATTTCAGATGGAACTGATGAGTTAAACTGAGGCTGAAAATAACTCCAGTTTACAAAGGTTCATACAAGCACTATTCAAGCCATTATGTTGCTGTTCGGTTGCATATTTTACAGAGGTCTTTATTTGTAAACACTTAATAAATGTGGGTCTATTGAACTGTAAAAACCAAAATATAATATCCAATCCATAAATGCACAGAATGAAAGGATCAAAGAATCGCTTTAGATGTTGGTGCTTACTTGGAAATGACAAATTCTTAGACATTCATCACTGTTAGCTCATCAGGAAGGTTTCTGTAACACAGTTCATCTGGAGTATTTCTCAGATGAAGTAAAAATAAAAAGGATTAAAATATCAGTTTGATAAAACAAAGTTCAGTCACTTTAACTACACATACGGACATGTGATGCAAAATGAGTGTGTCGTTGGGACTCATGACAGCCTAAACAATTCTTTCAAATTTACAATTTTGAATATCAGTACATCATCTTCACCTGCGTTTTATAGGTGACAGAGGTCACTGGAACAACTGGGACACCCTGGACTCCATCATCACAGGGACACACACACTTTGAATTTTATAAAACTTGTCTAAACAAACCCACTTTAAAAACAGATTTTTGCCATCTTTAAACAAATCTAATCTACATTTCATAGATTATGTAAAGTATTTCAAACTTTACATTTCTGTCAATTTTACATTCTGCAGTTATTCAGGCAAAAATGTATTCGTTCAGGAAGTGCTACAGCTAGCTGCTGCTGTATGAGCTCACCTGTAACGATGGTATTCAGTGTAAATAACTGATATAAATGTGATGGTGATGTAAAGGGTTAAAACATTTAGTGTAATCTTTGAGATTTGACTTGTTTAAAGATGGCAGTGATCTCTGTGGTTTTGGTCAGGCTCTAGTCGCTCATCAGTCTGGCTTTAATGAAACTACTTCCTACAACAACAAACATCACGTGTTCATGCCTTTTACACAGAAACTAACCAGTGTCCAGTGAAACTTTTGTTTCCTCTCTCTGGAGCCTGAATCAGGGTCAGTGTTCTTCACACAAAGTTGTTTTTTAATCTGACTGTGATTAAATCATAACATCTTACTGAAAAGGTTGGAAATATCTACTTTAACCAAGTAAAAAGAAACAAAATTAATCCTGTTCAAGAGTTGCATTTGAAGTCTCACTGTGGGGTCTGACTATAAATTTAGATTTACAATGTTCTTTTTTGTTATTTAGTCGTCTCAGATTACTTCTTTATTGTTGTCATGTTTTCTGTGCCTTCTTGAATTGTGATAAATTCTCTGCTCACCTCAACCATAACCTGTGCTGTCATAACTGTGTCGTCTGCAGTTTGTTCTGAAACATGAGAACAGGAGTACTCACAGTACAGGTGCTGAATGATGATATATATAT